ACATTTTGGAAACCTATGAAATAGATAAAACACGTAATGTTACTGTATTTTGATTCTCGCATCAGTCTGTAAGATATCACCTTAAATATCTTTTTAAAGATTTTGCTCGTTGCTGTTCTCGTGAAAGGCACATGCGATATACAGACTTAATGAATTTAATATTAATACGGTGACGTCCGTGGCTCTTGACTTAGCACATGCAAAATAAGCTAAGTATAACCTAATTATTGATTTTGAAGGAACTTGGTAAATACTTATCAAATTTTATGCTAGCTACCACCCACGACTTCATCCACGTTAACTTTAGTTTTTTGAAAATCCTAAAGAAACCTGACATTTTTCCGTTACAAAAAGTATTCTATACAACGATATTTTATACCCTAGATACGACAACATGTACAAAATCGTGGCCGAAACGTGACCAAAAGGTACATTTGACGATTCACAGAGGTCCGTAAGATGATCGCGTGGTCAAAAACAATGTAATGCATTATTTAAAAAAAAGTCACCTTTAATGCATACGGCATAAGCTCTTAATTAAAACGCATGCATCAAAGATTTATGGCAGTTCAAAATGCAAGTTCCTAAAATTTTACGACTTATTGTTATATGCGAAAGAAAATAGACCTTATTTTTTTTTAACTTTTCGCGCTCAATTCTGAATGTGCTGTTAGCTATTATAGCAGGTACAGACCGCGAAGAAAAAAGACGGCTATAGGGCGACGTATAACCGACCATGCTTTTGAGTATCACAAATATGTTATATTAAATCAGTTTATAGTAAGTATTACAATAAAATTTGCTTCAAACGCGTTAAATTTATAATAATAATAATAAAAACGTTTATTTGGCTCAAATTATATAAATAACTTATTGTATTACATAAAGATGACTATGTACTAAATTATAAAAACATTAATTAGATACCTGTCGAAAAAACAACACTTTACGTACTATTAGTATTTTTTTCGCATTTTTACGGAGCTCTGCGGCATTTTGACTTTTCGACATCGGTCCGCGCGTGACTGTAAACCAAGAAGTGCTTGAATAAAGCTTAAGCACTTGTTGATTGGGACACATTTTGAGCGCTCGTGGTCTATCTAGGGTATTTAATATCGTTAATTCCATGTCTTTATCTAGGTCATAAAGTATGCGCACTTAATTTCATACAAATCGGTTTAATCGTGTAATAGTAACAAACATCCATACAAATTTTCGGGTTTAAAATTTTAGTACGATATGATTAAAAACTGTTGGTTGTCTACTCATGATATCTGTTATTGTATACGATGAAAGAAATAGTTTTTATTTATTTTTTCTATTTCCGTAGCTGACAAACTTATCGATAAACTTACGGGTACAGACATGAGCTGCGTCAAGTCACTAGCAATACACGTGCCGGTGTGAGAGCGGAATAGCATATATGATGTAGCGCATGCGAGAAAGGGATAGTGTTAAAAGACATCAACGCGTTCACCAAAAAATAAATACAATTAAAAGCAATTTCATATAAGAGTATTTTTGTCTTTTTGTAATGCATTTAAACTTACCGGTGAAAAGTAATACCATCTTTTTGAAGACTGGAAGTTTTACTCCACTTTCCACATAATTTAGTTGCACAGTACGGCATTATTTCTAGTTTTTTAACGCAAAAACGAGAGAAGCACTTCTGCTAACGCTCGGCTTCGGAATGAAACGATGTATAGCGACGTCTGTGGGCGTGTCTCACGCATACGTAATATACTACTTAAGCTTGGCGTAAGCGCTTGCCCTTGTATGCGGACTCTAGTGGGGGTGCTCCATGCCACGCCAAAACGACAAGCAAGACAATATTTCAAGTGATTTCTTCAGAGATATAAATAATAAACAAACAATAAAAAAGTTATTTATTGTGAAGTGATAACCATGATAACTGTCTCATTTAGAGTTCCGAGTCAACAAAGAACCCCTAAAGTTTTGCTATAACTCGAAGTGTACTTTATAACGTACTTTAAAACATGTATAATTTAGCAAAGATAACCATTATATTAACGCCGCCAATGTGGTAAATAATATAAAAAATGGGTGCGTGTACTTATGTAGGCGCGTGAGAAGTTATCCTTCTTTGGCATCGTTTAAAATTAGTTTTTAATTGCATGCAAATAATTAATTACAATAAATTAATAAAAAGTCTGGAAAAGGACACAGTCAATAAAGTTCAGTTTTAATTTGAAAAAATAAATAAATAATCAAAATATTCAATTAAAATCGCTACTGAATATAATTTATTAGAACATATGTGATTTGCACGTGTATGAAACTCAAACACGTATTCCGAATATACAAACTAGAAACATGTGGATAAATATTATAAATATGAATACCTATAACTGTTACTTTATTACAAAAAATAAAGATGTGGTTTTTGGTTCTACTACACCAATGGTCAAGAGATGGCGCTGTAGTCTCCTGAATCGCGCTTTGTTTCCGTTGTTCCAGATTAATAAATACTTTTGATATTATAAATATGAATACCTATAACTGTTACTTTATTACAAAAAATGAAGATGTGGTTTTTGGTTCTACTACACCAATGGTCAAGAGATGGCGCTGTAGTCTCCTGAATCGCGCTTTGGTTCCGTTGTTCCAGATTAATAAATACTTTTGATAGGCCTTCACAATGCAGTCGTTAGCACCCACTAAATAGAGATTCTATTTCTATTTTGTTGGTAGATTTTCTTAATGTGCGGTAAACACAAAAGTAACGCATGAAGTTGGTTGGCTAAAGCGACCAACTTCATGCTGTTAAAATTTTGTGTTACAGTGATGCGCGCGCATCTTAAAATTTCATTCTCATCATTTTTTCATAACGCGCCTAAAGAAGTATAACTTCAAAAATACTTCCCTAGTTTAATGAGTACTTGCATTGTATAGGATATTTATTGCGTACAAAAAGCTGTGCAGTGCAGACAAGCTTACGGCCCATACACTTACTAATTAACCCTATCATCTTAACTTTTATTTAAAGTAAGCGCAGCATCATGCAAGAACTAAATAAACTACTTGTAAAATGCAGTGAAGCAGCCTAGCACCTAGCATTAAAATGTATATAGCAACTTTAATGGCTCTGCGAATTGTTAACACAATTTTACCACTTATTACTTCCTGTTTTATCACGTTAATTTTGCGGCCGCTCTTTTATTAGTTATTAAAAACAGATATCGCCTATTCCCGATAGTGTATAATCTACTTAAAATAAGGCATTGCGCGCACTGCAATACGTGTGACGGAGAGCAGAAATATCAGGCAGACAGAACGCATGCTACGCAACACGTGTGTGTGACAATAGAAAAAACAGGAAAAAGGCAGGCAGAACTCGAACCTGCGTTTGATATTCTGATATAGCTGCAATGCGAAGAGGTAGCGAAATACTAGAAGAAATTCGATACGATCATTAAGGTCTTGGCGGCATAGCGGTTCGTGTATCCGCCTGGACAGCGGAAGACGCAGGTCGTTCGAGTCCTGCTTGAAACCTGACCGAGTTGAATTGTTTCTAGTGAAAGTTTTTTTTATGTTGGATATTTTAATGTTTGTTAAGTTTTTACACAGAAGAATATCTAACAAATAAAGAAAACCTACTACTACTATAAAGTTACATGCAACATAATATATTTTCAGACTTCACATCCCTAAAGTAGAGACTCAAAGTTTTCTCTTCATTAATTTAATCAGCAGATTGAAATAAAAAATTACAATGGTGTCGATTCTAGCATGATTCTCTACCTAAAATTAAATTTGACAACATCTTCAGCTTCATATATCTACGTTTTACTTCTCCATACATCAACATCAGCTTATTAATGTCCCCACTGATGCGGCACAGTGCAGATTGGTATAAGGGTGGGTTCTAACGAACGAATGCAGATTGAGCCGGGACCAACAGCTTAATGTGCCTTACGTCAAAGTACGAATGAGTTTTTATAATTTTTTGATCACCCAACCGATAACCGGCCATTACGAAAGCTGCTTGACTTCCACGACCACGCTCACCACTTGTGCCATCGAGATCCTCAGCTTTAACATTAGAGTAGCTCTATGTTCTAACAGTGGATGTCCACTTATGATGATGTTAGACATAGGCTGTAATATCAGTTGATGATGATGACGATGAAATATCTATATCTACTTTATAATATCATAAACCTAAAGAGTTATTTTGTTTGTTCAGTTGAACGTGCTTACCTCATCTCAGTAACTACTGATCCGATATGAAAAAATGCAGGTTACAAGGTAATCGTTTAAATATGATAGTTATTCTATTAGAAAGGATAAAAAGCCTCTGTTTGATAGATTTCAGTCGTCCCCTTTAATTGGTAAAAGTACTCAGTCCTTTTAATTAAAGAGAAACTTTTAATCGTTGGTTTTCCCATTACTAACGATATATATATATTGGATGAAGAATCTTGCTATGCCTTGCCTTGATACGTCCACAATTCATATTTCAATTAAATAAAAGTAAATAGTAAAAATAGTTTTTGGCGAAATTTCATCGAGCGCGGTTGGCATCTTATTTTAATTATTCTCGAAATCTTTCATAATAAATATTGTGAAATAAAATTGGTGTGATTTTGTGTTACAACACTTACAACCGTCTGCGCAACTGAAGAATTAATGGAAATACACTATTCCGGTCAAGTGGTTGTGAGACTTTATTGTAGCGTTGACTACCTCACAGAAGCTTATCGAAAATGCTAACTCGATACATTTCGTGCCAAATACTCCAAGAAATATTAGAATGCGTCACATCAACATTCATATGTAAAGAAAGATGATTAATAAAAATCAAGACTAGGCTGTATGGGTATTGTTCCCTTTGCTTTCCTTAAAAAAAAGGGTGAATCTTATAAAAAAAAGCTAAGGACAAAGCTGTATGGGCATTGTTTTCTTTGCCTTCGCTGAAACGGAAAAACTTAAAAAACAAGTAAAAACCAAAACGTCAGTACAACATGTCAATACCGAGTCAATATTCTAAAAATTCAGTACTCTCTCAGTCAAAATTCAGTGCTCTCTCAGTCAAAATTAAGTCAGTGTCAAATTGAATGTTTTGATAATACATGTGATTTCGAATTCATAATGTAAGTATTAAAATTAAATGACCACAGGCCAAGAAGACCTAAGCCTTTGTATTTTAGAACGTATATTTATTTGTCGTGTAGTAATAGAAGTTTGAGGTAAAGCAATTAATAACCATTAACAGAGATTCCCAATTCCAGAATCATGTCTGGAAAGAAATGTAAGCATTGTGGTTCTTCGGAAATTGAAGTGGACCCGGCTAGGGGTGATGCAGTGTGCACAAACTGTGGTACAGTGCTAGAGGACAATATTATCGTTGCTGAAATCGAGTTTCAGGAGGCTGCACACGGTGGTTCCTCTGCTATAGGACAGTTCGTTTCAGCTGAATCAAAGGGTGGAGCTAGTGGCTTTGGTCGAGGTGAGCTCTCATTAGAAGCTTCTTGTATATGAACTACGAAACATAAGTTGGTTTATTAATAACAGATTATACAGTGTAAACTCCATGTAACGTCACTCGATGTAACGACAAACTCCCTAAAACGTCGAAATCACTTGTCTTTGGTTGGTTTAGTTTGTTTTCCATATAATTGTACACTCCATATAGCATTACACCCAGTCTCAATAACGACAACAATTAAGTATATAAAAAGTACCTTTTAAGTTGCCAAAATTAGTGAAAATTGCGCAGCTGTGTATATTCTTTTGGCGCTTTATTATCCTAGCCCCTAATAAACTAGACTGCCGGCATCATGCAAACCAAACTTTCTAAGAAATTCGTTCTTTTGTTTTCAAATTGGGATTGCAAGTGTAGAGTGTTGTTGACCATGACTAAAAAAATATAATACAACAAAATTACTGTTGCAGCAAAAGACATCAGACAAAAATAACAGAATATACACAATAGCCTTCTTTCCATTTAACAACCTCTCACTATAATGCAATAAAATATACAGTCCCTTTAGAGTTTACACTGAGAGTAGAGTTAGACATATTACAATAGTTTACACTGTAGTTGATAGTATTTGAGATAATTGAAGTATGCATTTGTATTTTAATAACATCAGTTTTTACACCAAAGCTCCTTAATTAGCTATGGCTGGTATACAGACTAACTCTATACATACTTGGTGGTACATTACAAGATTCACAAATTTTGGGTATCACTAATCACCATCTTTTTGTTTTAGCATTTAATGCTGGCATTGGGCAAGAATCAAGAGAGATAACCCTGCGAAAAGCCAGAGATGGTATAACTGCTTTATGTCAGCAACTGCGTCTTAACCAACAGTGCATTGATATTGCTTGCAATTTTTTCAAGATGGCACTAACTAGGCATCTGACTATTGGCAGGCCTGCAAGTCACACACAAGCTGCATGTGTTTATATAACATGTAGAACTGAAGGCACATCTCGTATCCTTTATATAGCTCTTTTATTTCATATTGACATTTTCTGGAAACAAATGATGACAAGCCATATGACCTATATATGCATTTCACCTTGATCGAAGCGAGGTAATTACTATTGACATTGGAAAGTTAGCATAATATTCAGTGCATTCGCCAGGAGAGAGAAGGGTGCGGGTTTGAGAACCGTCTGCTGCCTGGTCTGCGTGGATTTTTTTCTAGTAATATTTACTTTAGATTAAAACATCAAGCAGTTACATGCTTAACAAATAAAAATTATAAATTATTGTTAACCAATTTTATGTTCCTCTCTCACTCTCACTCTGACCAGAGAGGTTAAATTAAAATGAAAGTTTCCCTATAATAATATTTGATTTACAATTTCCTTGACTATTTTGTATCAGATCTCTTGATAGATATAAGTGATGCACTCCAAATCTGCTGTTATCAACTAGGCCGTGCATACTTCAAGCTGTCCCGAGCACTTTGTATTAATATACCTCCTACGGGTAAGTGCTTTTATTTATGAATTTTCTCTTTAATAAATTATAATGTATTTTCACTTCTCTTTATAGTAAAATTTATGTTGACAAGCTTTGTGGTGTGAGTGGTATGTAAGTACAGTGAGTTTCAAGGTGCTGCCTACTTACAGTTCCCAGGTTTGAATTCCAATGGGGCAAATGTTTGAATCATAAATAGTAGCATTTGTACCTAAGTCATGGATGTTAATATGAATATCTGGAATAATATACTTTTGTATTTTATCCACCCTATTGTCCTATAACACAAGCCTACAATGTGAATTCGTTTTTAGTATTGTTATCTTTACCATCCAGCCTGTTGAGTTAAATATCAGTGAAGCTAAGCTAGGTAGGCAGTGAAAAAAAACAAAATTCAATAAGATATTCGTTTTATTGCAATAAGTTTTTATCATGCTTTTTGTCTACACCTAAAAATTTCTAGAGAGCTTTACAACACCCATATCACATTCTTAATTTAGTTTCTATAAAGATCAACAATATACACAAGAACTTCAAATTTCAACAAAAAATTATACAAGGGAATGATAGTGCTATATAATAAATATTAGATTCTCCCGTTCATATTTAAATTGCCTGGCCATTGTTCAAACAGAGTAATAGTTGAGAGGCCGTGTCCTACTCAACTGTCAGTCCTCGTTTGTATTTGGGTTGCTTATTGCAGTATTTATGGTGGGACCATAGTATATTAGTTCTGGTATTTGACCCCCTTGCACCCCAGTTCCATTTGTACTCTCAGATGAACAATGGAATTGAAATGTAACAGTACCCATGTACACTTCACTCAAACCTTCTTGGCCAAAATAACTTAACTCACTACCGTCCAAAATAGCAGATGCCGTATAAAAGCATTCCGGTTCAATTTGTATTGGATTTTCAAAATACACATGGAATGTGTTGCTTGATCCATCAGAGAAAAACTTTGTATTATTTTCTGCTAACACTCTACCCAAACGTTTTAATTCTATCTTAACATTATAATCAGCTGCACCATTAGAAGAGCCATATAATCCGAAACCAACAACAAATATTCTTTTATCTACACAGAACTGTATAGAGTCGCACCGTCCACGATACCGCCATTGATTGCTTCTGTAAGCACATGACTGGAACCTGTGGCAAATCTGCGAAAATAAATAAAATAATGTTAGGAATAAAACTCATAAGTCGCAGAATGTACTTTTGACAAAACCAGAATATTTCTTAAGTTATTGTTTACAAAAGTTATAATATTACCTGTGCCTTCAGTCCAGCCCTAGCTTTGATTGGATAGGCCAGTTGTGGCTTAGCTGCTGCTGTGAAGTGTAGAAATATATCTATTGTCTCTTGGGGTGTCAAAATTCCAAGCTGTGCTGCACTGTTTGCAAACTCTTCCAATGACATAGTCGGGAATCTAATTAAGTATATGGCACTTCCAAGCATTGCTCTCTTGTTTGTTGGAGATGGTTCTATTTCTCGTCTCACGCATTCGCCGTGGGCCCATGCTAAAGCAGCCTCAAATAAATTAATTTCTTTGCAATTTAGAGTCTCTCTTGCTAATACCGATTCAAGCGTTGATACATCAATGTCGACAAATCCCTCAGAAGTTAGGGCCATCTCTGCCTAGAACGAAATAAAATAAAATCAGGGTAGATTGAAACTGCAATACAATTTGTAAGTTAATTTATTCAGATATATATACAAAAAGTTTTACAAATTGATTACTAGTTAGTATTTATGGACATCAATCACAAACCTCAACACTAACATGCAATTTAAAACTGTATTGCAGTAAAACTATTTATTTTAGGGAGCTGACTAGAAAATAGAATTCGTTTGGCCTTATATTGTGAGTACTATTGCATTATTTGTAACATTACACACACAAAGGTTACCAAGTTTGTAAAACTAAATGTGCCATATAATTTTTATAAGGTTTACAATGGAATCTTGGAATGTTATTAAATGTTTGTACAACCAAAAGGATCTCATTAACATTTTGTGCTAATTATAATCACAACCTAAACAAAACATATAAAACACAGTTTTGTAACATTATAACTTATTGATATGGCGAGGAATCACACTTTAGTTACCAACCCTTAATTATCATTATGTTGCCCTAAAAATACCAAGATATATTTTTCATTTGCTAGCAAGGCTTTCTGTACTTTCTCTACTTCCTGGACTTGATAAATTTTGACTGGTATTTCCTGATAATTCCATAACAAGACTACTGTATGAAGAGGATGGTTCTAAGCAGAGAGTATTTAAGTTTTCTGTCGACTGACATACCTGTGCATCTATCACTTCCCAGCATCTCTGCATTAGTTCTGGTTCCTCAAACAGCCTTGATTGACTAAGTAGGAGACATGCGTTTTTTGCTGTGAGACTTGTTTCCAAATAGCTGACGCAGGCTCTTGCCAAATATGGTACTATATACTTCTTTGCAACATACAATGTTGATAAAACAGTGTCAGCTTCTAATTGTATTTCATCACAATATAAATATCTGAAAAACAAAAATAAATAAATTATACTTTTATTTTTGACCATTATCTTGAAAACATTAGATCTGACATGAATATTTACTTTAGTAAAGTGAGGAATGCCTGTGGTTCCACATCAGGAACTTCTATTTCTTGTTTACATTCAGCCAAGCCTCCATAAAACATAGCATAAAAAACAGAGCTTGCAGTAGCTAATACGTATTTGTGTGCCGGTATTATTTGTGTGTGACCTGAAATTCAGAGAAAAATGGTTTTCACATAAGATACCGAGAAGTCATAAAATGTGATGGGAAATAATAAACATACACATTCCACTGACATGTTTTAATTTAAAAACTGGTTTGACAGGCTCTCCGATCTACACTTGTGGTTGTTTCTTTAACTTTGTAGATAAATATTACTGTGTACAATAACTAATTTGTTGTACCTAGGTAGTTAATAATGCAAAGATCAAAGTTTAAGAAAGATATTGATAAGATTTTTACCTGGTCCACCAACAATAAAAGTTACATCCGACATGAGCTGATTGTTAAACATAGCTGCATTTCGTTCACGAACAGTGGGCTTTGTGGCCTGCCAGTTGGGGTCGAGAGTGGCGCTGCCAGGCGGCGGCGCGGGGGATGCCGTGGGAGAGGGCGCGGAGTTTGTGGAGCCGCAGGGGGACGGCGGTCCACTGTAGCATTGCGACACTTGAGTGCCCGTCTCCCGTTGCGAAATAGTATGAGGCGGAGACAGAGACAATCCCCCGCCATTATTGATGTTTTCCGCTGTAATCAACGATAAATGCTTCACTTACTACATAAACATACATAGAAAAACCTACAGCTACTAAAATGGCCCCATATAGGTCACGCAATCTAAATATAACGGGAAATCATGACATAAAAGATCACCAAACAGGCCACCCGAACCTGCTCAGATCTATAAATCAACATTTAGCTGACTTATTAACAGGTTTAAGATTTAATCAATAATAACCGAAAGCTCACCATTCATCCAAGTATTGGTTTGTGCTACAGACATACTGTCCCTACTTTCTGGAAGTCTTTTTGGCGGTTTGTACGCTATTCTTGAACACAGATTCGACATAATGATCGAGAATCCTCGATTTATTTAAAATTTCACTACAAACATTTGGGCCGCGCACGTCTTTCTTCGCAAAAGCACTAAACACTCCGTTCGTATTGACGTCAGTCAGCCATTTTGTTTGAAGAAGGGGCAAACGGGAGGGAGGGGGCGGTGACAGACGAGAAGTTTGTGCGCGTGAACGAGGCGGTCGGTGCGCCGACGCGACGAACTGTCATTGAAGACACGTTCAGAAACATTATCTTGTTAATTGTTCCGTTCCGAATATAGTTAAAAAGTTTGCAATGATTGCCGTTTTCAGATTTGCATATCCATGTCTTATGAATTGTTTCTTAATTGGAAAGAGCTAAATAATATTCTTTTTCTCAAACATGCTTGGAAATATGAGCATTATTTTGACAACCTTCATTGTGATAAATCGAGTAGCCGGGCAATCGAGGTTGGCAAAAATTGTATGAAAATCCATAACTGTTGTGTTTAGCGGCCAAATAAATTACATAGTAAACTCATATCTGTCGTGAAATTTAAAAGGGGTAGCGGGTTAAGGGGGGTCTGGCGGCCCCCACCGAATCTAGTAAAATCGTTCCAAAAATCTTAAAGAGGGTCGAAAAACAAGCAGTATAAGCTTTTAACCGACATTACAACCCCAAACGAAAACACAGTAATGGCGAAAAATATGATTTTTTGTGATTTTTATTTTTTTCAATCAGTTTAATTTATTTTTAAATGGTTTAAATGCAATTAAAAATTTCTGTTTGATGTGTGGAAGTCCCCTGAATTTTTTTAGATTTTTTGGTCAAGTAAAAACGTGAATTTTAGGTTTAAATGCGAAAAAATCGTGAAAAACGCGTCATTTTCAAGATTCAACCCTCTTATTTTTAGGGTTGTTTTCATTTTCCCGAGGGGTGATGTATAGTATAGATAGCGGCAATCGCCCTCTTTCGAATGCAGGCAATTGGACTCGATTTGGTCAATTCTGGTGAGCGGGGCGATTTTTTGAAAAAAACTCGAATTTTCAACTTTCGGTAAATTACGGCGCGTACCTAGTATAATGAGTCTTTGCTATAAAAAATACATCTCTATAGGGGTTTTTGAGTTCGCTGATCACGAATTTAATGTCAAAAAAGTTTTTTAAAAACTAAAAAACAGTTAATTGAGAGAAATTAAAAAAATCTTTCATTAATATTTTTACATTATCAAACCTGTGTTAATAAATATTTATGGGTGAATTTGTTGTCAAAAATTTTTTTTGACATTAAATTCGTGATCAGCGAACTCAAAAACCCCTATAGAGATGTATTTTTTATAGCAAAGACGCATTATACTAGGTACGCGCCGTAATTTACCGAAAGTAGAAAATTCGAGATTTTTTCAAAAAATCGCCCCGCTCACCAGAATTGACCAAATTGAGTCCAATTGCCTGCATTCGAAAGAGGGCGATTGCCGCTATCTATACTATACAGCACCCCTCGGGAAAATGAAAACAACCCTAAAAATAAGAGGGTTGAATCTTGAAAATGACGCGTTTTTCACGATTTTTTCGCATTTAAACCTAAAATTCACATGTTTTTACTTGACCAAAAAATCTGAAAAAATTCAGAGGACTTCCACACATCAAACACAAATTTTTAATTGCATTTAAACCATTTCAAAATAAATTACACTGGTTGAAAAAAATAAAAATCACAAAAAATCTTATTTTTCGCCATTACTGTGTTTTCGTTTGGGGATGTAATGTCGGTAAAAAGCTTATACTGCTTGTTTTTCGACCCTCTTCAAGATTTTTGGAACGATTTTACCAGATTCGGTGGGGGCCGCCAGACCCCCCTTAACCCGCTACCCCCTTTGGAACGATATTTTACTCCGAAACATTGGCAACCAAGGAGCTAAGTCATTATCAAAGCTTTTATTTAAATTTCGAACTGGATTTCGAAGTAGAAAACTGTTTAAGAAAAATATAACAAATGAACACTGTAACACGAAAAAATATTGTTGTTCGTTATTGATTATCAAGAATTGAGTAAAATATAAAATAAAAGCCTTGGCCACAACTAGGTATTGATGGGTGTGCCTCGACTTCACCTTAGCTCAAATTTACACGTTCGTCCATCAATGCCTCTTTTGCTGACCGCTGCCACAGAATATATACACTATGCCGCTGCAGTAATCTATACTAATATTATAAAGAGAAAGATTTGATTGTTTGTTTGTTTGTATTGAAATATATCTAAATAACAGATTTGAAAAAAATATTTCACATTTAGAACCCTACATTATGCTCTCTGCCCCCATCGAATCTCGGTGAGGGCAGATTTTTATGTTATGAATACGAGCATCTGTACTGCGGGTCAATTATGCTTTAGTGATATAATCATAATGTGATGTCAATATGATGTTGATGCCAACTTGACATTGTTTTTAAATTGGTATTATGAAACATTCCTATGTCACATCAAGATCATATCAATATCATATCCTGTATCACATTTTTGACGTTTATGCGATACTGTTTTAAGTCAAAAAGTTGAACGTAATACGCATTTAAGTTGATATCATTTTAAAGAGTTGATCATAATAGGTACGCATAAGTTGATGTCATTTTGATATCGCATTTTTCGGAGAGCATAATACGTAATGTGAAATTGACATCAAAACAATATCACAATTAGCTAGCATAATTGGCCTGCTGCAGTCATGGATGTTTAGTATGTATTTCTATAAAATATCTATGGGGCTAGGCTAATTGGTGTGAGTGTTGGAAATATTTATTATAGAAGACGTACTAGAGTTGTATAGAGGTCTAACTATTACAGTTATGGCACAATAGACTTCTTCATGTTAAATTATGCAATATTAGTGCCAATCCAGTACAAACTAGGCCACATTATTCGTATTAATCCTTATCCAAATAAATTTTAAAAATAAAGTTTTCAGGTACCTGTGAATTACTTTTTGAATTAAGCCAGAAACATATTAATGTGTCGTGTCGACGCTTTAACCTCTCTATCTCTCTCTAACCCATAATAAATGTATGAAACCGATGCGCCACGTCACGCCACGACACGTTAATATGTTTATATGGCTTTAGGTAATTGCCAAGTTTCATACCATTCAGGGAAGGGTCTATAGTCTACAGCTCTACACCGAAGCGAAGCGAGGGTGGGCTATTAGTGTACTTTATTATCACTAGTGATATGCAGCGCGTGATGAACGGTCTTAATGGGCTCAATCATGCACATCTATTTATTTTTAGTAACTAGACTAAGGTCGTATACAGAAAGAAAGCCGAAAGCCGATCAGGGGGCTTAGACAAAGTTACATCGTTTCGTAGCGAAACGATATCTAAATTCGTCATCGTTTCTGAGATAACGAAAACAATTTCCTAGCCAAGGTAACACTCTTGTCGTTATCGTCGTGGCGAATTGTTTTTTCGCTAAGAAAACGAAAATTGTCTATGGTATCGAAAATTTCTGCTGCCAGTTAGTCAAGAAGAGCCCGCGAATCGGAAACTTATTTAATTATGTTGCGATGTGAATGTAAGGTTTATTAATAAACGAGTCTCTGTAATGCCTCAGCATCGTGTTAGATTAAGATCACCATTAATGTTGTGTATCGTTTCTCAGAGCTCATGTTGCTCAGCTTGTTTATACAAAAGTAATACGAGTAAAATAGCGTCCTGTGTGTGGGACAATGCTTTGTTTTGTTCATGTTTTAATTGTATTTCGAATAAAAGATTAGGACCCAGAGGCTCAGGCAGTCCAGTTAAGGAACAAGAGAGCAAGTTAACTAACGTGTATTATATTAAAATAAGTGTGAATTTGTGTTTCAGTATAGAAAACAACAGTAAGTAAATAGTGTTATTAATTACTTAAAAATGGTCCTTGAAACATAATGGAGTGGAGAATAAACGATAGTGGAGTAATCTGTATGTTCATTTTTAGTAATAATCATGGAATCAAGAGTGCGAGCAAGTCCCGAACAATTGTCAACGCTGCTAGAGTTTATGGAAAGGTAGGTAAATCCAAGTTTTAGTCATGAGATTTTCGAATTCGAGATTTTAATCATACAAATACTTGATACCAGCTTCGGTCCATGCATACCTAAACACTCATAATGAAGCTTTGTTTGTTTATGTTACAGTCATGGTACCCTGGCTAGGCCTCTTGCTGGAGCACAAGGTCGAGTAAGATCAGACCGACTATGGGCTGATCTTACTAATATTTTAAATGCTGTTGGTGGTGGTGTCAATAAGACAACAGACAAGTGGAAAAAAGTAAGTACCTATTGAATAGTTTTGGAATGACTGGTTTGATGGAACCCTATACTCAGTTATATGGTTAGTACTTACTAAGACAGATCTATATTCATTTATTTAAATTATTCAATAAAGGTGTGGGCGGATTGGAAATCCAAGACCAAGAAGAAAGGGCTAATAATTAGGAGTCATGCAAGAGGGACCGGTGGTGGGCCAGCAAGCCGGCAAATCTTGTCGGCTCTTGATGAAAGGGTGCTGGCCATTATGCGCCCTTTAGCAGTGGAAGGACAAGCCTCTGTACAAGAGCTTGGATTTAATGTAAGTATTTTATATTCAAGTTTCTACTTACAATGGTCAATAATACATATTAAATAAATAAATTAGATTACTAAATGTAACCAAAAGGTACCTACTTAGTTATAATGAAGAAACAGACCCATTTTTATATTTTGATAGGTAAATCAGTTAAAACTGGTTAGTGATAAAGTACATAATAATATATGTGTATTCTAGTTTATATATTAAAAAGCGGTTATCTCCCTATTCCATTCATAGGGAAGGCCTGTGCCCTAGCAGTGGGGACATTAATAGGCTGCTGATGATGATATTTGTAATAATTACTTATTCTGTAGTGTTAAACCTATTATTATGTACCAATTTTTTTCAGAAGTCCCAATCAGCTGCACCCACACAATTATCTCCACCTATCATCCAAGATAATCCAATCTATTTGGAAATTGTAAATGGTACGTCTTTTCTATTTATTTTATAATAAATGTTAATGTAATTATGCAAATTCAATTCTATGATATTAATGAATGTCCTGGATTCTCTAAATTTACTAGGCAACCTCAGTTTCATGATTTCTTAGATTAAATTAGAAATCCTTCCTTCCTTATCATTTTAAATGAAAGGAGGAATTTGTTTCTTTGAGCACTTTAATTCAGACCTTTGAACTATCCTATTATAATTTTTATTTTTTAAGCATTTAACTGCTTGATGTTAAAGAAAATATAACTACCTGTCTGTCTGACTAGTGCCTGGTCCGCGTGGATTTTTTATAGATATATTTTATTAAGATTTAAATACAAATTTTGGTTATATGTATGTATATTTTTTAGGCATTTACCTGGTAGATGTTTAACTCTAAAGAAAATAATACTAGAAAAAAATCCACGCGTAATTCCTGCTGCCTGGCCTGCTTTTTTCTAGTATTTTTTTTTTTATATTTATACACTAATTTTGTTTTTCTAGAAACGCCGGATCTGCCTACATCACCACAACCTTCCACTTCATCCCAGTCCGAAGCACCATCCCGCCCTCGCGTACTCGCTGCACCTTCCTCACAGGGAGGCTTCTCAGGGCGGCCTCCGCCATCCCCGCCAGTCACACCCGCCCCACTACTCCTCCGAGGCGGAGGCGGCCACCTGCCCCCGGCGCATCTGCTACTCTCCCGACTGCCGGGCGTCGTCCGCGGATGAGATCGCCGGCGACATCGCAGTCTACTGCTAGTAGCCCCGACTCCCTTTGAGAGAGCGGCGAGCGAGTTTGCGGCCATCGAGTTACGACGCCTGGAGCTGGAGGACACCCGGACCAGGCTCCAGCACGAGCGGGACTTGCGAGCGTTGGAGGTTGAATACGACCGGAACCAGAACCGCTGAACACTGAATAGTTCTCAATATCAATGTTAAGCGGTTCTGTTGTCCTTGTGATAGAAGGCAAACCACAAAACACACAAGCGTGAAGCTTGTAAGGCCCTTCAGGCCATAAGCATGTACTACGGGTATGTTTTAGTCAGTAGGAGTCTGAAATAACCTTGCAGCCGGCTGTAGGGTATCCATGAGGATTTCACACTCGCTCCCCCGCCTGGGAGGAACCAAAAAAAAAACGCGCCGTAGTTATATTTTTGTTTTACTGTACCACTTCCTACTAATATTATAAACGCAAAGTTGGTATGGATGTATGTGTCGATGTTTGTTTATGTTAATAAAAACACTATATTAGTTAACAGTAATTTTATTTATACATTTACATCCTTCTCTCTCTTTATTTCAGTTTCTTACAAAATTAATATAATGTATTTTTTTTTCTTTTAAGAAACAACATCGAGGTTATTACATTAATTTTACTGTCACAGTCGAAGATGCATGAATTGACAATCTAAATTCAGTTTTTTGAACCACAGCATAAACACATCTATAGGAAATAAGTTATATTTCTAGAAGGTATATCAAAAGCGCTGAATAAATAATATTTTTATGACTAAAAACAGCACATAAAGATCATTTAAATATTTATTATTTTTATTTTTAAGCATGTAACTGCTTGATGTTTAAATCTAAAGAAAATATAGGCGCTACCTTGCAGCTTAAGAATGGCTAGAAGAATTTCGACGCGGCCATCAGGGCCATGGTAGCATAATTGGTCAGTGCATTCGCCCGGATTGCGAAGGATGCTGGTTCGAGTCCCGTCTGCTGCATTGTCCGCGTGGAATTTTTTCTAGTTATATTTTCTTAAGATTTAATAATTTAAATAATTAACTATTTTTATATTTAAACAATTACATTATGTAGTCCGGTCAATTTAGACATTCGAAGCTACCTAGCTAGCTTGGTGGGAATTCAGGTAGCTTTACTCTTATCTTTTGGTCTAATTTGACCGGACTAATTGTTTGGAATGTTCTTAAAACAAATAACTATAAGAAATATTAAAAACTCTTATACATAATTGTTTCTAACTTTAATAGAAGAATTATATACGAAAAAAATATCAAATGCTAATAGGACAATCCAGATGATGTATGTAAATAATAAATATGATATCAGAGAGGTTTCCACGGATACAACTACATCCTACTTATTAAGCAACTACCCATAGCCCTGCCTCGGATTAACTCATTTTCATTATCATTGGTGGAGATGCTTTGTAGCATAGAAGGTTCTTCACCAGCTTCTAGACCTCCGATTGGTGCATCACTTGGCGGTGGTATTCTAGCCTCTAATGCAATGTTATGCAGCACACAACATGCATTAGTGATTTTGCTAGCCATGTTAGGGTGATAGTGAAGAACTCTATCTCAAAGCATACACCTCCAACGAGCCTTGAGTAATCCAAAACAGGGTTCAATACGAGACCTGGCTTGGACATGACGTCGTGTGTAACTGTCTTCCTGGGATCCTGGTTCAGCATTTAATACAGGCGTCATTAACCAGGGCCTCTGTGGATACCCAGAATCTCCTGAAAAATAAATAATTTCCAGATTATGTATATTTATATTGTATCTTTAAATGAATTTATGTGTATATAATTTTTACCACGGGTTAAGGCAGAGAATAATTCAGTATTAAATCCACCTTTTGAGTTGTTTTTAAAGGTCAGGAAAGTTTTATGCATAAATAAACAATGTATTACCTAATAACCAAACATGTTCACCATTTTCATGAAGCCCATGCATGTATGTCTCCACGTGGCTTGCAGACCATATGTGGGATTCATGTGTAGCTCCACCAAATTTGGAGTTAACATTTATTATTTTTAAATCATTATCACTTATCTGGTATGAAAAACAAATAAAAATAAGAGAATTAGGTCCACTTTAAAATACTTAATCTGATATAATATTTTTCTTCACATTATAAAATAAGCCAAATATTATTTTATTAATAAGTGAAAAATAGAAATAAATAATATAATAATAATAGAAAAATAGGTTAAAGGGAAACTATAAACAACATTAATTCAAGTTTCATTCTTTCTTATATAAATGATTAGAGATTATCTAGCTGCTTACCATTTGCACATTTAAGGAATGATATCCTTTTCTATTAGAAAATATGTGTTCTTCCTCGCTTGGTTTGGTTATAGCAATATGGGTACAGTCAATGTTTCCTTTGAAATCTGTAAATAAGGTACGTATTTACCAATTTTACAACAAAAGTTAGCTTTAGGAAAGTTATAAATTTCAGAGGAACCACTTAATCTAGCATGACCTTTTAGGTCGTCACATAACCGCCTAAATGTGATTTTATTAAGCCTGAAATGTTGGATAAACAACAACTCAGGCATATCTTCAATTTTTTCTAATTAAAGTCTCAATCTTAAACGCATTTGGCGTCTCTTCCAGATGGTTTCATTATGTGCTGCCCACAGTAAATGTAGTGAATGCATTTTAAATACTTTGATTTACGATTATTTGATACAACTTAAACAAAATCACAGCTGATGAACAAAGTCGGCCATGTTGTTGTGTTATCTACAGCGTCTTAGCATTCGTTTCGTTAACGATTTCGAAGATCGCGATCGCAGCGAAGTCGAACGTCAAAAGTGCAGCTTGTCTACGCATTTGTATGGGATTAAGCGTTCAAACAATTCATTATTTTAACGTTTCGTTACGAATTGTAACTTTGTCTACCAACTTTCGATGACGATGACGATTGACCACGTGATTTAGCGAGGCTTATGTCAGTTTCATACATTTTATTAATTTCGAACTTCGTTATCGTTTTTAAATTGTTACTTTGTCTAAGCCCCCAGCGCTTATCGGCGCTGAACCTTACTACATAAAGGAAGCTGATTAAAGCAGAGCAAGCAAAATGTCGGACTCATCGGACGATGATTTAGTTTTGTTAGAAAATGTGTATTTAAAAATGCGAAAAAAAGCTATACATCCTATAAATAGAGAAAGGAAACGTTTCGGAGAATACCATCATTTATTTGTAAAAAAAATGAAATTTGATGATCAAAGATTTTATACATATAGAAGAATGACTTAAGAAACATTTTATTACATTTTGGATTTAGTGAAAAACCGTTTGATGAAAATTTGGTGTAATTAGCATAAACAACCAATCCTTCCAGAAGAAAGACTTGTTGTCACCATTCGGCAAGAACGAAACAAATGATTTTAGCGCTTAGTTAATAAAAGATAAAGTTATTAGATTTATAAAAAGATTATAACTTAGATTGATTTAATCTAAGGAGAATAATTCAAATACAAATCATTTATTATTCGGACAACATAGATCATAATGACCAGCTGACCAGCGCGTGTCGGCATTTTGTCGGCGTTTATCGGCGCTGGTCCTTGAAAAAGGATATCGAGCTAAGGCTAGACTAGGGAGATAAGGCCGAAAAGCGCTGATCGGCTTTCGGCTTTCTTTCTGTATACGGTCCTAAGTCTTAAAAGGTCCTTTATTTTGTTTCCTGCCTTTTTTACAGAAAATTACTACCGTGTACATGATGAAGTACATTAGTGTTTATTATATTATGTTTTCGTTAGCAACTTGTGTTAGTTACCTTGGATCAACGGCCTTGTGTGTCTATGCCTCCTCACGGGCTCCTGGCAGTTGAGCTCTGCGAACCTTCCATCTTCATCTATGAGACTCTCGAAGAAATCCACGCTGCTATTCATCGATGACCGGATTTGCAAGTGACACGCATACCAAATGAAACTGTAACATCACATATCACGAGTTCACTAAAAATTATAAAAACACAGACAGACGCGGCGGGGCGCCTCTGTTGTGTGTTCGAATAGACAACCCAACAAACGTCTTGAGCGATGACCATAGACACGGAAGCCTGCTCATAGGGTTATGAACTTTTTTTCTATCAAATATAGTAATTTCGAAGATGTTATCTCTAAAAATATAGTAGATTAAAAAAAATGGTAAACCACATACTTTATATTATGTCATCATCATCAGCCTATTAATGTCCCCACTGCTGCACAGGCCTTCCCTGTGGATAGAATAGGGAGTTTGGGCCATGACCCACCACGCGGGCCCAGTGCGTATTGGCGGGTGCTAACGACTGCAGATGCAGCCGGGACCAACGGTTTAACGTGCCTTCCGAAGCACAGAGGAACTCGAGATAGTAAATTTTTGGTCACCCATCCAATGACTGACCACCATAGTATGTGGTTTACCAGTTTCACCATGCCATACCATTAAAATATGTACTTTATTTTTTTAATGAATATATTTTTGCTGCTCTGTCTTCATAATTAAATAATAAATATTTCCAACACTCACACCAATTAGCCTAGCCCCAAAGTAAGCACTGTAATAAAACTTGTTGTTATGGGATGCTAGGGTAACGGATAGAATACATATACTGTACATATATAAGTATATTTATATAAATACGTATTAAACATCCATGAGTACAAATGCTCGTATTCATCACACAAACATTGCGCCCACCGGGATTCAAACCCGGGACCTCTCGAGTCGGCGACACCATGAAACCCGGCGTACAAACCACTCGACCACGGAGGTCATCAATTAAATATTAATTTTCAAAAATAATAGCTCAAATCTGCTTTAAATAAAATATAGTAGTTTCGCCTACTATATTTTTTTTAGAAATATGGTATTTGATCCCCTTATATATTATTGTATTATATAGTAGGGTTGGCAACCCTGGCGCAGTATCAATGTCACACACAAAACATCTTCTGCGCAATTTGTTTGTCTTTGGTTTGTGGTTTTAATGCGGTTTTCACTATCAGTAAGATGTTTTTAAGGAAAATATAAATGTGCAATAAGCGCCCAAAAAAGAAAATATAGCGGACACATCGGAGCGAACGGAAGGTTATTTCAATAAATAAATTAACTGAGTTCCAATTTAGCGCATTTTTTTATTGTTCCGCTGACTTTATTTTTTTTCTAGTGAAATAAAATTAAAAACTCGACAGACCTGTCTAAGAACGAACTAAAAAGTTGAAAAACAAAGTCTTTGCCATAAGAGGACTAGCTATGTCATGGACACGCGGAACACTTTTAAAAATTCGCTTTATTTTTTATTGTGATAATTATCAAAATTCGCAGCATTCAAATGTTAACGAGCGAAGCATTGATCAGGTTCGTTTAACGTCAAAATGTCTTATGTCCGGGCTACACGAGGATATTTTTTCAAGCTAGGATAGCAAGCTAGTTCTGTACTAAAATGTCCTGGCTTGGTTTTATTTTAAGCTAATACTATTGCAGTAACTGAGTTGACCACAATTCCAAAATTTTTATTTTGAACGTGATTTCTTATTTTTTTAATTTTAATAAACTTTAATCAAAATCCTGTGAGGTAAAATGTGTGAAAAACACATATTGTTATATAACGTAGTTTTCTTTTATTTAAATAAACTAACAGGTCGTATTATTATATCGCCGATAAATTTATCGGGCAATGGAGGCGTATAGAAAGTGTTAACAGAAAAAACTGTTCAAAAGCTCTTCATTTCGCGTAAATGATCTGATAATAAATGGTAATATTTTAGTACCAAAACTGCCGTTTATCTGCTCTTAAATAGATTTTGCTTCATACCACTTTTTATGCTTTCCTTTAGTAGGTACGTATAATTCATAGAAATACTTCAAATTCGTAACCGAGAGCAAATTATATACAGTTTTTGCTGGTGCTGTAAAGTTGTGTTTATGCGTATGCGCCCTTATTGCAGACCCACGATATGTATATTTTATAGGTTTTAAAGCGTTGAAGACATGCTGCAATTAGTAATTTGTCGTAATTTTTATTTTATTTATTTTTTCTTTTACAAATTAGTTCATGAGAAAAAATGAAGACTTATACAAATAATTATTATAACCTGTCGTGTATATCGTCCCACCATTCTTCAAGAGTATTCATTAGAACTGCAAAATATGTGTGCAGCCAAACAAACATCGCTTATTAAGCAGAGACAGACTTGCCACATATCTACATGATATCTAGTCTAGTTGCTATTTAAGTATCAATTGTGCACTTTATCCGAACCACGTATATTGAAACTTAACAAAATCACAAAGAGACAGACTTAAGACAAAAACGCTCCACACCACCTGTTCACACGTAAACTAGAAATGACACAATGCCAGTGAAATTATGAAAAACAATGGTTTCGAAACATCTATTGTAAACTAATTTTGATCTAATTCCTTTGCAAACAGTAAACGAACAATGTTTTTTTGATGTTGGACATTTTAAATAAATCATTTGGACCGAATCAGTATTTGAATTGATTCGCAATTGTAAATGGAGTTAGGCGTGGGTACACTAAACGCGAAAGCTAACTTTTATTAATTTGTAAATGGAATGATGCTACCTTTATGTCATAGGGTGATTTGATAAATCGGGTTTTCGTGAAAATCTACTAGGGACTTTGAAAAAATGCGAATAATTAGGCAATGGCGATGACATTTCTTAATCTTACTGAAAAAATATAGAACTTTCGCAAAAACGAGATAGCACAAACATTCGTTTGACTGGCAAAGCGTCACAAAAAATATCGTTTACAGTATAGCTGAGTCTTGTGTTTTGTCAAAAACACAATCAACAAAACATATTGCAACATTCAACAAAAACCTCGGTCGGTAGACGGTCTACACAAAATTTTGTTTCATTACACATATTTGTTTGCGTTAAGAAAGACCAGCGTTGCGGGTGAATGATAGATGAAACAGTTGATTTTTTCAGTAGTAATATCGTAACAATGTATTATGTTTTTACCTAGAAAGCTACAAAACTTTAATTTTAAAAGATTTTTCATGGACATCCAAAAACGCTGTCGGCTATTTTAGTCTATAGATTATCTATGCTATGACGTCAACAAAATCCTAAACAAACGTTCGGAAGCACGTAAGAAATAACCTGAATCTAAATTTGTATTATAAAACCATGATTTCGAATAGATTTCATGATAAATATAATAATTATCATGATTGTACTATGCGAGAATGTAGAAACACATCGTTAAAGACTCCCGAAAAGTTGTTGTTTAAATTGTCTAGAGAAATGCACATAACTAAACATGAACACGGTCATGTTTAAAACTTGCTAAATCCTGGTTAACCTTAAAACAATTTTTAAGGTTATGAATGTACCTATTTAAGTATGTAAGTCAAAGAGTTTTGTCGTTTCTGCTTTCACAAATCCGGCGTCCAACATTCATTTAGACATCAAAACCAATAAACGGATTTTTTTCTACAAGATGTAAGAGTTTTTAGATATATTTTAGTCCAACGCAAGACACCACAATAACACGACAATGACGTTTAGTTGTTTATATTTACTAACTTGTTGACGTCACAATCATGGTGGACAGCGTATTGAGTGTTTACAAAGCATAGACTAAAAACCATTTTTCAATGAAATTACTACAGCCATCTTCTAATATTATGAAGTGAAATCGATGCATTTAGGTTTCTCATACCAAACATTATAAGAAATAAACATTTGTATAGTGCAAATTGACATGAGTGAACTAGCCTATTTTTGTTATTACATATTATTTTTTTATTTGAAATGCTTACCCTATTTATGATAAATTAATATTATTGACGTTGTATGATTTGTTTTGATGATCATTTAAAATGTGTGAAATTGAAAAATGTAAATGTGTGATAAATATAATTGCATGTAATTGGTAACAATAAAAAAAATAGCTTAGCTCGAGTAGTGGCAGTGTAGTCCTCGCTTTATGCTTGCGGTTCTGAAGTGATGTTTATGCAATATGGTTGTGTTGTGTTGTGGGTAGTAAAGTGACTATTGTCAATGAAATGTACTCTGATTCTATTGAAGTATTGACTGGGATGGTTGTGGCATGCTATCTATTCAAAGATTACTCGCGGGGAAAGCGTACCTTTAGAAAATTCACTCTCGACTTCATGTTCTCGTCTCTTTGAGATACTTGGTATTAGTATCGTTTCTATTTTGGGATTTGCTTTGTGCTTAACAATATATACGTATTTTGTACAGTTGCCTTTCCCCATTATGTGGCCATAACTAACAGAGGAGCAACACGGCCGACGCGGTCACGAGATCCATAATGTCTTTGTTATTTTTTTTTAATGCGTAGAACAAATATTTTAAACCATAATCAAAATATGCCACGAACTTTACACTATATGCTGTATAAACAATCTGAGATAATTATTTCGTGAGTCTTGATTTATTGATTATCTTATATATAAAATTCTCGTGTCACAATGTTAGTTACCATACTCCTCCGAAACGGCCTGACCGATTTTTATGAAATTTTATATGCATATTCCGTGGGTCTGAGAATCGGTTATCCACCTGTAACGTAGTGTTCTGAAACCTACAATGCGCCTTCGCGCCAAAATTCAAACTATTGGCTATTGTAACGTAGTGTTCTGATATGGGTTAGGATGAATGTTATCCCAGGAAATTGATAGAACACTAGGTCACACACCTCTTAAAATTTTTTTGGACAATTTTTTTTATAATGTGGTATTAAAAATACTTACAACCCTAAATTTTCTGTTCTACCACCTGCCCCTATTTTTATGGCGGTACGAAGTTCGCTGGGTCAGCTAGGAAGAATATGTTTTTTACTGTTTCCATACTGATCTGGGAGTGAAAAATAAATATAAGGCGTCGGCTTCTTTGTTTCCCGTGCAGATGGTATAAGACGGGATAGTTTTAAAAACTAACTTTC